TGAATTTGACCGGGAGACGAGTCTTTTGGCGAGTAGTCAGGTGGATCTTGAAGCGGGCGCGTACAAGGGTATAGTCTGTACCATTCTTGCTTCCAGTTTCTGCGCCGCGAGGGGAACGGCAGTATTCTGCCGAAAAGGTCCAGCTAGCAAGTATCAAAATATAATCAATCTGGTGTGCCGTTCGGCCATCATTTGAGCACTAAATGAGCAGGTGTTTTCCGGGGTGCTGAAAACGAGTGTTGGCCCCGACAAACCGATTAAGGTCAGAAAATGTGACTAGGCGTTCGCCATTTTCGCACCGTTGACCAAGGCCAAAATTTCGCAGAACATGCTGAGCGTGTTCGTTTGATGGACCAGTGCATGCGTTCCAGTCTTCTGCGATAGCGAGGATGTCGCGTCTCGGATTGCGGTTCACTGCGTCTTGAATTTGGTTGTAGAAGTCGTCTTTGATGGACTCTTCCGCATGTAACGTTGGAGCAAATACAGCGATGACAGTCAGGTTAAACGGCTTTCCCCTGAAGCGCACCATGGCAACCCTGGGGGAAATCGGTTCAAAGGAGATCATGGCATTGTTGGCCCGGCCGCTCACGGCGATTGCTACCCAGTGCAAACCGGAGTTGTCAGTTGGGTCGCTGTGGTATAACCGGTAGGTTTTGTTGCTATGTGGTACGTTAGGTAGTCTGATTTCGGACAGGCAACATTGTAGTCGTTCGGTGATCGCATCCTGATACACTTGCTTCTTGTGTCTAGCAACGTTCAAACATTCCAGCAGGCTACATGGATGCATAGATGGGTTAGGTTTCCAGCTTGCTCATTTGTCACTCCAACCACTGGGAGAGCTCAGGGCGCGTCTCTTCCCGGGAAGGCCTTAGCATGAGCGTGATGTACCACTGTAAGACGATCCATGAAGAAACTTGGGAATGAGGTACTAAGTTACGTCCCCAGCGTCGCTCGGCTTTCGTTCGAGGGTGCACATCTAACGCTTGCTCAACCAAGTGCGACCTGTAAGGTAATATGGTAGAGTTTTTGGTAGCCGGTGACCGTTAGAACGGCTCATACGCCTTTCGGAAGGCTCTGCACCTATCCAGGATTACCAACGTGCCCGTGAGGTAGCATTCCTCAGAGTTTGTCCTACTCGTAAGAGTAGGTAGCAATGGCCTACTTTGGTGGTGGGTCACTTTTGTGCACTTCGCGATACTGTCAGCGGACACTTATGGTACTTGAACGGGATATCGATTGCCAGCCAAAAGCCCCACCATGTCCTCTAGCATCGCCGCTGATCATCCGTGACCGATTATTCAGTGAGATAGTCCCACCTATTCACGGTGAACCACGAATGTGTCCGTTCTCCTATCCGCGGCCTGGAGACTTGTTCGGTAGCACTCAGCTGTGCTTTCCGTATGCAGTTCAGTGCCTACGGGTCTGCGTCAATTAGCTAATAATCATTCATTAATATACATGCTTAATTTATAAGCATGCAAAAGAAAATCAGCTATTCAATGGGGAAAAATTATTGATCATGAGCACAGTTCCGTAGAGGTTAAACATTTGGCAAGTAAGAATCTTTCAGCAGCAAACTATAACTAGCCTACAAAATGGAACAGATTATAATTAAATAAAAAATTAAATGCAGCCCAATGAAATATCCACGACAAACTCCCATTTAGAACCTTTCTTTCTGCTTCAAGCACGTCTTCATCTTCATAGGGTTCTTCCTTGTCTGTCTAGCATATAATACCAACCAGTCGCGTTATAAGATGCAGTTCAAAGTCATGTATGTTTCGAATGCATTTTGTAAGGGATTTTGTGGTGTCGAATTCTTGAGACAGGAAGCCGTTGTTCTTTATAGGTTTTTAACCAACCGCATTTGATTTATTCACCACCTTCTGTAATGAAATGCTATTTGTGGCCAATAGTTCAAACACTGCTTATCAGGTCCGCTTTGTAGCTTAGAAGCACGACTTCTCCTCAAACCTCATACATCTCAATCAGAACAAAAATTGACGAAGCTAGTTCATAACCGAAAAACACCCAAAACTTACCTCAGTATGTGATACCCGATAATTTTTCTCTAGTTAATCATGGCAACGTTCACAGGGTCATTGTATCGACGCCAATATGCAAAAACCGCTAATCGTCTATTATTTGGACAAAAACGGTCATATAAGTTCTGTGACTTCGTCGACGGAAATGTTTCCCATTATGATGCATCGAAACACAGCTAAATTTCTATTCACAGTTAAACTTCTATCATGATGTAAATTGGTTTGATGAGCAATTTATGATTACATCACGCCACATATGGGGCACACTTGTGCGAACCCCGTTAATGCTGTACAAGATTGATATGGATTACGATGACTGGATCGAGCAATATCAGTGTGCCGTGAGAAGAGCAGAACGTGGGTGATAAGTTCGGGGCAACGAGCTGTGCACAAAAATCTTCAGTAATTTCGGTCCAGTATTACATGATTAGTCTGGACACACCGATTGATCGTTTGGGGGCTGACAGGCAGGCACAAATTAAGATCAATGGCAAAGAGCACCATACACTGGGATTGCACAATATCAGCAGTGATTCTCGAGTGCGTGTTTGTATATGCATAGGCGTAAAACTTTATGGTCAGCGATCTTTGTTCGAATAGCTAATACACCTGAGAGATGATCCCGTAAGGTTTGATGTCCGGTTAAACACGTGTACCTGAAGGAAACCCAAAAACATTTCGGTGCATTTTTGGCATTCAGAATGGATGAGCATGGAATGCAAAACCAATGTTTAAAAGAAAAAAGATTACCATGAACGAAAGGGGTTATTGTAATTCATATTCTAAATTTCCTCTACTTACAGAACAAAATTGATTGTCTGGGAACTAAATCTGCATGTTGTACATTTGAAAGCGTAAAACAGTTGCGATCTGTACTTGAAACCTTTGGCTGGACCCGTTCTATTTTCACATAATCAGAACACTACTCAAATAATCTCCAACACGCGCTTTGCGCCATTGATTTGCTAAATTTTGCATGGTTATTGTTTAATAGTATACAAGAGAACGTAGCATTATGGTGTATTCATCTAACAGCTTGTC